CCCCCCTCTCTCTCGCTCTCTCTCTCTCTCTCTCTCTCTCTCTCTCAGTCTCTCTCTCTCGGTTTCTCTCTCTGTCGTTGATGTTGGTATCATGTTATTTCATGAAAAACCTTACCAGTCTGCTATGACACAGAACCGGCATCAGAGTTAAAGCATTGCGCAAACTGTGCCTATATATTGAGGGTCCTCTTTGGTGGTCCGAAATCGATAACAGTAAGCTTCGGCCTTCACCCAGGAACAATTAAAAATGTTCTACCAACTGAAAATATACTGACGGTCATTAAAAACGCACCACTTACAAAACAATTCAAGCAGTGGTGATGTGTTTATTTTTTTAAACAGATTGTATACCATTGCATTCTGTGGCCATTTTGTGAACATTCACAACTGAAATGACATGAAAAGGTCAAATGGCACCGCGAGCACAAAAGCACGAAGTAACAAAAGTCATTAAAAAAAAATCAGAGCAGTAAATTGAGTTTTTAACACCTGCTTTAGTATTGTGTATGTCATCCATTGTCCTGAATACAATTTACAGGATTGGTAGTGTTTTCTCGTGGAATTGACAAGAGTCTGAAAGAACACATTTGGAATCAGTACCCACTCATTTGTCAAAGAACGCCTCAGCTCTTGGAGATTGTGAAGAGGTCTTTCACGGGACAAACGGCGGCCAAGCTCGTCCCACACATGCTCAGTTGGTGTCTAGTCAGGAGACAGTGATGGTCAAGGCAGGACATCGATGTTGTTTACCTGCAGAAAAGCAGTGGTGGCTTGAGCGGTGTGGGGGAGGGCGTTGTCGTGTTGAAATAACTGCAGCTCTGGGTGTTGACCAAATAACAGCACGCGTGGTTCTTTAAAACCTGCTGGTACGTGGTGACATTCACAGGCTGGTCGAAGAAGCACAGTGGTGTGCGATAATCGTGGCTGAACGCTCCCCATACCATGACGCTGCCTCCTCCCCATCTATCGACCTCCAGTATGCAACAGTTGGCATAGCGCTTGCCGGGGGGTCTCCAGACCCTTCTTCTCCCGTCAGCATGCGACTCTCGTCAACTGTCAAATTTTGTGCGATCGGTAACCTGCCCGTGAACTTTTGTCGACCTCAATTAATGTCACTGGATAGATTTTAGTCCAAAATGTGCTCAATTCAAAATGTGCGTTTTTAATGACCGTCAGTATATTTAATGAGTCCCGCGCGCTCATATGGCCTTAGGCTCTGGCCACACTGCGAGCAGAGCGGGCACAGCAGAGCGCAGCTGTTTGAGGCGTTAACATTGGGTGGTCACATTGCAAGCAGAGCGGAGCGGGTGGTGCAATGCAACGTCATGTGGCATTATATTTTCATATCAGTTTCAGTTGCCCATAGATAGAAAATGATTGACGTTATTTGTCCTGGTCAATGAGGAGACTCAACAGAAGAAAGCCAGAAAGAAATAGGTGCACCCGAACATCTGACTACAAATTCTTCCACTGATAAAAAGAGTAGAAAAAATGATAAGAGTAACACGAGGGAGAGGTATCTAATTTCTTTTTAAAATTTCTTATCAATTTTCTCTCATGCTTTATCCTGTAGTGGTGAATGGGAAATAGGAACATAATAATAACCATAGCATCCTCAGTGTGTTAAAAGCAAATCGACGATAATATCTGAGTGTTGCAACATACAGAGAGTTTTAAACACGTAACTAAACACACGTACACACGCATACGCCCTACGCACGCACTCAAATATATACACTCATAAATACATATAATGTAATATGTATTTATACACAACAAACAACCTGTGTCTGTTGTGTAGCGGCAGGCACTTCGTTGTCTCACGTAGAAGACCCGTGTTCGATTACAGAGTAAGCAAGAATTTTTATCAAGTATTTCGTTTTTTCTGCTTTGATGTGGTATCACTCTCAGCTAGGGTTGTGTGTGTGTGTGTGTGTGTGTGTGTGTGTGTGTGTGTGTGTGTGTGTGTGTGTTGTCTTTGTTTTTCCTGTGAGGTGTACCATTGGTGTGTGTGTGTGTGTGTGTGTGAGAGAGAGAGAGAGAGAGAGAGAGAGAGAGAGAGAGAGAGAGAGAGAGAGAGAGAGAGAGAGAGAGAGAGAGAAGGAAAGGATTGGCGAAGGGAATGTTGGGGCTAACGATGGGGTCGGCAGGTATAATTATGTTGTTAGATAATTGAGAAGAGATCATGTAACGCCTTGTGTGGAAAAAGAGTTTAGAGTACAAATTTAATTCATAGTGCAGCGACTTTGGCCAAGTTACTCGACACCTGCGAGCTAAAGTAATCCAGTTAAACGAACATTGTTTTATTATTAATGCGCACAGGCGTATATAATGCGCTTGTAAATAAACTTCAGATCTAATTCGTCTGTGCTTAGTTCACGACCCGACGTTCTGTCAAGTCTCTACAATAGTTTACTCTGCTTTTCATCACCCTTTTCTAAGCTGTGACGTACTTTCTTTTTCCTTTCTTGTTATTGTTGTTGTCACTGAATGTCATGCAGAAGGGAGAAAATATCCAACGTTTTCGAGTGCAATTAAATCGGGTTTATTTATCTTAGCTCGCAAAGCTTGAAACTTTACTCACGTCTGCACACAACAACCCCCCCCCAAACCCCCCCCCCCCACACAAAAAAACCCACGGGTTTTGTCATACCTGCATTTTGTTTTTTAATTCTTTTCGGAAGGTAACAATTCTAATTTTTTAAAGAAAGATAGATAGATCTGTGTCACTAGAACGTTTTATGTACTGCATTCAATAGTCAGTGTGAATTTATGTTCTATATTAAGCTATTGTTTGAACGGGTTTGAAAACGAGCATCAAAACTTTATATTATGTCGGTTTTTTAAATATTGTTCTATTGTCTCTGTAGATCTACTCCAGAATTCCAGATCTATAGCATTGGGACACATTCCTGAACCTGGGCGTGCCCACACAGAGTTTCAGCATCCTGTAATGTAATAGCACCGAACAACATCAGGTGGATGTCCTCAACAAAAAACAAATTTCAAGAAAAACTCAAGAGTACATGGGTCTAAATCTTTAAGGTGGCCTACATTTCATTCTTGGGAAAGTAATTCGGTTTTGTACCTTTGTATTTTCTTCGTAACCCCCCCCCCCCCCCCACGTTCTTCAATTCCTTTAATAACAGGATATGATATGTATATCAGTCTTATTTATAATTTTAAATGGCGGCTCTCGTGGCCAAGAGGTTAAAGTGTTGGCATCTCATTCAAATGTCCCCGGTTCGAATCCGGGTAGCGACCGAAACATTTTCTTCCTGCTCTCAAGCAGTGTTCTGTCGTCTGCTTTTTCCTCCATTTTCTACCCCACCCCCTCACCTCCTTGGCCCCCTCCTCTGGGCTCCTGACTCTTTCAGCAGCCTTCCTACTGCTACTCTTTGGCTCCTTCTCACGGCTGTCTTTCAGCCACACCCCTGATCTTCTGGTAGGAAGGAACTACACCTTGCCTTCACGGACAAGGGCGACAACTCTTGAAGGGCCTGTGTACAAGTTGCACGCGTTAAAGATCCCTTGGTGGCCTAAAATCGACAAGAGTAGGCTTCGGCCGCGACCAGAGCAAAATTCAAAACTTCCTACCAACTGAAAACAAAAGTTTAATGTGTCCCGCGCGTTCATATGACTTTATGCGAGGGCCGTAAAACACTTTA